TTAATGGAAACAAATTGACTGGAGTCCTTGGATCGTCTGTTAACTTCACTTGGGCTTTTCAGGGAGGAAAGATAGACAGAGTTGAGTGGGGAACAAAACACGATCGTGCTGTTAGCATTAAAGATGTTCTGATTTCCATAGACAGGCTCCAAATAATCACTACCATAAAGAATCCTCCATACAGTGGACGTGTGAGTGGAGACTGGGATGGAAGCAGCCCTGGACAGGCTACTTTCACACTGAACTCAATAGCGAAAGGAGATGAAAGGTTCTATGCTTGCAAACTTTCACCGGAAATTCTTGATGGACAATTAGTTTATGATACGGTTCAACTGATTGTTGTCGGTAAGTAAACAAAAGTATATTTCCTTCCTATATTAATTGGGCCAAGAGACAGGCCCAGTCCTTGAGTAAAGTTCTTTTCGGCGTCGACTGATCACGCGAGCGCGCAACGAGCAGAACATACGCTTAAACTTTAGTATGACGAAGAATTAATTGTTTTAAGATTGAAATCATGTTTTTGTTGTGTGATAAAAGCGTTTTGGGAATCGTCGCGGAATAACTCGTACGTGTCTCTGTATGCCGGGCGAAATTGACAACTTAGTGTTATTTTGGGGAGTATTTTAGTCGTTGAATTTTTTTTGTCATATATCTTAAATCCGCCGCCAAGAGCTAAGGTAAGTACAAAGATAGCTTGGTTTTATAAGCTTTTCACATTTACCCAACACTTTGCTTTATATGCGTAAAGATAAATCTCTTTAGCTCCCATACATTTCTTTGAGTTTTGTCTGTACGAACCAGGTATCTAAGCATGCAGATGAATAGACTGTTTTCAATAAATTAAAATTCAACTTGGGAGCGAGGCCTAGAGGACACAAGCAAAGGAAATTAAATGAGCATGTTTATCAGTCATTTATCCTCTCTGTGCCTCTAGGCCTCGCCATTGAGCTGAATTTTAATACATCGAAAGAAGCCTATTTTCACGCGCACCTTGTCACGAAACAGAAATACAGGACTACTGCCTAACTCCCGTTACTATTTTTCGAAAGGTTTCCGCTGGGCTATGCCAGATCTTTCATCCAAAAGGGATAGATTTAAACTGCCAGGGTCATTTCTAAGTTTAGTTGAGCTTCTTCTTGCATCAGAAAAGCGGGCACACTAAAGCTTTAAATTTGAATGAGCACGTGCCTCCGTTTCCAACTTTGAAAATGGAATGCTGAACTACTAGACCAGGTGATGATAGATTAGATAACAAGAACTTTTCGCCAAATTAGTATAAGATATTATACTCAACTCTCGAAATACAGTATCTTGGAAATATTTCAACGAACAGCTTGATTCGTTTCTGAAAAGTATTTCTGGTTACGTTGCCATTTGCTTCGCTTTCAAAACCAAAGGCGTTAAGCTTTTCAGAATGAGCATTGGTTGAAAATTGCTGCCAAGTAATATCCTCTCTATATATTTTCGGTTACTTGAATCATTATAGCGCCCAAATATGAACCGACTGATGAACTAAAACGCTTAATAAAATTTAATAGTCCAGCCAAAAAACAATAACTGAAATAGATT